GAGAGAGAGAGAGAAAGCACGCGAGAGGGCGAGGTCTCGATTTGACCCTCGTATGATAATACGACGGCAGGTAATTTCCGGATCCCGATACACGAGCGGAGTAATGGGAAAAACGGTAACCCTTCTGTCATATCCGTTATGGATTCATACGATTCGGCCCTCGTTTGCATGCCTGTCCTCGCGCATGTATACGTTATTCTTGTTTGTGCGTGCGTGTATTACAACGCGTGTATTACACTCGACGCGCGATCGAAATCGCTTCAGAAATTCACGAGCGTCAACCCGTCGAGAGCGCAACGATTATCCGCGATGGTCCGCCGGGACTGTTGCCAAGAACACGCGATCCCCCCTCCCTCCTGCCTCTCATGAAAAACGTTTATCAATTCTGTAATTTAAGGATCTCTGAATTATACCAATCGTTTGTACAATTTGCTATTAAATTCTTCCCACTGAAACGCAAGCGGCATTTTGCTTTAATATACGGTTTTCGATAGCGGCGGAAATTCTAAGAAACTCCGTGTTCCAAGCGTGAGAGGATGAAGTTTCTAACGTTCACGAATATCGTTCAAGATTAATGCAACATTCTTCGGAAGAACTAATTGAAAGTATTTTACACCGCAAAAACAGCAAACGTGGCAGCGGCGGCGGTGACAGCGGTGGCGGCAAACTGGAGCTGAGCTCGGAGAAATTAACGCTCAGAACAGTTGTGCATTCTGACGCATCATCCTACGAAGCAGGAGCGGCTGGTTCTGTAATTTTTTATGCTACGTATCCCGCGAAATGTCGTGATGTCGTGCGGAAATTTCAAAAGCCACACGCGACACGCGCGTCCACCGCACGGCGCGCGCGTTTGTTGCGGTCCAATGAAAATCGCGTCACAAATACAAAACACACACACCCCTGGTCAGGCTCAGTCGCGTTATCGGGAAAAACACAGGGGGGTCTCTCTGACGAGGGAAGAGAGAACGTGAACACGAAGCAGAAACACAGAGAGGAAAACGGCAGACGGTCGACAGCCGCGGGTTACGAAGGGGGCAGAAAAGGAAGGAGGGCGGGACGAAAGGGAGCAAGAGAGACGGGGGAGAGAGGGAGGGGGACCTGCGATAAAAATGGGGGAATACAAGGAGCACATGAGGGTGGGAAGGGCTCGGGACCCTTCCTTCCCCACGCGTACGCACAGGAGGGTGAAAAGAAGGGAAACGTCGGAGGAAAAGAGACGGCGAGCGAGCGCGCGTAAAGGAGAGAGAAACGCCGACTTCAAAGAAGATAACGATCTTTGCTTACGTTAATTACCGTCTGACAAGGATGAACGACTGCCCACGGTATTTTCGCCCGCCGGTAGATTCCCATCAAATTGATTGTCTCGAGGAGGAGGAAGAGGAAGAGGGAGGAAGAGGAGGAAGAGGAGGCCGTGACTTCGGGCGATCACGGGTCGCGCGCGTCCGTCGACCGCCCCGGTCGAGCTCTGATAAATCATCTCTGATAAGTGTACGTATTAATCCGCGACCGCGAGAAAACAACATCGCGGGAGGGCGGGGAGGAGATGATCGTAATTGCAAAGCGCACCGTGGGGTAATAATAAAATAGAACGATAAATCAGGAGTAGCGATCGTCTTGGGAGTAGCTAGAAGACCGGATATCTCGGGCGCGTCCGGACCGATAGATCGCTTCTGCCCGAGTTTCGAGATGGATGTAAGATAAGTCGGTCGAGAAGTGCCTGGAAGCTTCTTCGATCGCGTTTCCCTTCGAAAATGGCCGTGGTAACAAAGTCGAGCGAAATGCTCGCAGACAACGACGCGTAGCAACCTCCGACTCTCCATCTCAGGCAAGTGTCTTTTTTATTGGAATAAACAAATTCGATTTTATAATAATAAAGTTTTTCTTAGATTCATAATCTCGGACAGAAAGATATGATAATCTCGGGCAGATTTTGTCACCATCAGTGGTGATTAGAAGACAATTCCGTCATTAATGTAGATTGAAAAGCAGAATCAATATTTAGAAGATATTAAATTAATATAAGCATGTTTATCATACTAATTTGATTTATCATCAGTTTACCGTAAAATGCTGCCGATATCTCATTATATCGCTATTAATATATTAATTCAATCTGGATACATCAAAATCCTACGGATCATTTTAAAGTTAAATACGAATAATGAATATATACAAGCATTAGCTTGTGAAACAAAATTGTTGCGAAAAGATACGTCGGCGGTGTTTTTATAGTATATTCAGTGCCACCATGAATTAGATTACTCCGAATTAATATAAATAAATTGCCGTCGCGGCAGTCGGGCGCAAAACTCTCGCGAAATAAAAGGCAGCCGTGACGAGAAAGCCGTAATAGCTCGCGGTTGAATATTCTATAGTTGAATATGACAAGGCTGCTCCGGACACCAAAGAGAAAGGGGAGTGAAGGAGGAAGGAGAGAACTCGGAACGGGGAAGAGAGGGCAATGGTGAGATAAAATGGCTTGCTTGGAGAAAAAAAAAGAGAGAAAAAGAACAAAATTGGATCGATCGAGCGAGTCATTGGCTTTCGTAAATAATATTCAAGTCCGCAAAGTGTTTCTTATTGTCCGCATTTTTGTTCTTAATAAACGAATAGTAGTCGCGAGTAGTTTGTAATTACTACCGGCTGGACTACCTCGCGATGATAATCAAAACTTGTAAAACTTGTAATTGTCGCTTTCCTTATTTCTCACTCTCAACCGGGCTTTCGCATAGGCTACCCGGATTGTAATAAATTTTTAATGGGTCGCGTATGGTGCCGTAAACAAACGGACGGACGGACGAACGAGCGACGGGGATAACGGTTGGAATGCCCGTAAGAATAAGAGATACCATTACGCGAACAATTTCTCCGACTGTAGCGGCAGCTCTCGTGAGGTATTTACTGCGATGCGCCGCACGGCAACGAACGGAGGAACCTACGGAGAATACGCAATAGTACCTGTTACAACCTCGTAGCAAAGACAATAACGAGGAAACGCTTAGCGCCGCGAAACAAAGACGCTCGGTGTTACTACAAATTATCCGCCCGAAGCCGCGCACGTCGGAAAAAGAAGCATAGCAGTTACGACGTTTACAATGCCGATGTGCACGGCTGCCGATGGTTTTTGTACAAGGCCATTTCTATGCGGCGTTTGTACTTCGAAACATGGATTGTTACGAGAAACGGAAAAGCCAGCGTGCAGGCAGACTGTGAGTTTCTGTAATTAAACTTTCTTACAATTAGATAAATAAGACAATGTCAAACGTGTATTTTTAAAATGAGATTTCGTTGTGAAAAATACTGATTTCTCCTCACGCAAAGATTATTTAATAGCTCTGTTAATCAGATTTATTGAGGAAAGGCCCGACTGTATCGATTGAAAATCAAAGATAAATCAAAGATAAATCAATCGTATAGGAAATGTCATTCGCGAAATTACGGCTACGGAATTATTTTTAACGAGTAAACGTGGCAGAGATGAATCGGGCGCCTGCTTATTTACGTGCGGGTTCGATACTTTTCACCTTATCGGCGAATCATCTTATACCCGGCAATTCCAATGATGCAAGGTAGGTGCACCTCGGTAATGATCGGCACCATTTCCGTAACCGCCGCGTTTCCTCCTTCTCACTGCAACCAGAAATTTCCTGGACCTTCTTTTTGTGGTAAGACATTCAGACTTGACTTCTCTCGCCGCATCCTGCCGCGTTTCTTTACTTTGTATACTCATCATTTACCACCAAACACGCTGAATTCTTTCTTACGTTCACGCTGCAATTCTCGTATCAGATAAATAATATTCACCATTACGCTTAAGATTAAATGTAATTTTTTGTTAATATCAGATGTATGTAATTTTGCATTAAATAAATCTCTATCCAAAAAAAAAGAAAAAAAAAGAAAAAAAACAAAACTCACTCGATACTTTTGTCTCCTCATCTTGTTCAACAAATTTCAGCAAGTCTCTCCGAAGTGTCTTTTGTGGCATTCGCAACCCTACAAATATATGTCGCGTTAACTTGTCGATCACGCTTCTATATTACGTTCTTTCTCTCTCTCTGTCTCTCTCTC